AATCGACATATGTTTGAGATTTTCCATTTCCCCTTAATTGCAAAAATGCAACAAATAATTTGAATTGGTACCCACTCGACAGGAAAAATTTATAATCATGACATATACCATGTTGTAGCTGAGATTGAGTACTACAGAAATTTTGTTCAGATTTTTCTGCCAGTTATTAAGTTAGGAGAGTTATGACGCTCAGCGTGAACAATGGAGATATTCAGTGGTCACAATTGGCATGGATAGTGACATTTTATTTGAATTCAGTATTTTGTCGTTTGTATTTCAGTATCAAATATTTGCATTCCACTGTTCTATCATACCATGCGATTTTTTGGTTTTATCATTGTTAATGTGAATATTTTTATCATTTTTAAAAGTGTACACTGTTAATATAAATAATGAGGTGGTTCTAATCAAAACAAATCTTCAGAAATCTCTAGCTTTATCTGTATTACATTTTCAGAAGAATATCAGTCGGTTTATGGTCAGTGAGAGTATTAGTGAACATCATCATTGCTCATGCCGAGCGTCATAACTCCCCTAGCTTAACAACTGGCAATAAAATTCAAGAAAGAATTCTGCAGTACTCAATCTTGGCTACAACATGGAATATATTATGATTATAAGTTTTTTCCTATCTAGTGAGTACCAATTCAAATTATTTGTTGCATTTTTGCAATTAGAGGGAAATGGAAAATCTCAAAAATATGTTGATTATTGGCAAATCTATCAGTTACATTTTGTTCTCCTGGATCTGCGCTACAAAATGATACATGAATTGCACGGATTTATTTGCGTTGAATTGGTAAGAAATTCACATTTCTGAACATATATCAAATAAAAATCCCAATTCCGCCACTTGGCGAAGTGTCACCTTCCCTTTGAAAATTCATTATGTTCACATTGCGAATCGAACTTTGTTGATTTTGACTGCATTCTCTCGTTGTGAAAAGTTCATTGAGTTCGTTTTCTTGTCGAAAGATGGATCACTCGTTGAGACGACAAATGCATCTCAGAGCGATTCTTTGACGAATTTTTACGTTGTGAGCTTTTCAATATCGAACACCCTAAATTGTCGGTGCAGAATGTTTTGGGTTTTAACCTGAAATTTATTGTGAGGTTATCCTTCGGTTGTTTCAGGTCTGTCTTGCTAGGCAGAATACCCGTGATCATATTTTTTTTCGCTGTTCGACTGCATATTTTGGGTTCAACCATGTTTGGATGGAATGAATACCTCACATTTATTTTTTCTTGCCGAAAATTCGAAACTTAACATTCTGTTATTAGTGTAAGAACTTATCTGCGTAATGTATATTCCAGCGTTTGCTATAAATCAGATTCAGTGCAGTTTCCCAATACTAATTATCGCGTCTTAATCAAAACCTGTTGTGTTGTTATAAGTTTGATTTAAGAAGGTTTATGCACGTTGTTTTAATACGCCGTATGTTTCTACTGAACGCACTTTTAAGATGTTAGATTGTTAATTCAGGGTTTATCAGAGGTTTTTGTAAACAAATAAGGCGGAATGAAGTTGAATATCGCTTACCCGGAAACGGGTTGTCAAAAAGTTTTCGAAATTGATGACGAGAAAAAGTTGCGCATATTCTATGAGAAACGAATGGCACAAGAAGTGGAAGCCGATGCACTTGGCGAGGAATGGAAGGTTAATCTTTCTCTCCTTCCAGATTCTTCCAATTCATCGTTGCAATGTTCTCAAAAAATTATTCTTCAAACTTCCATCTGCATCAAATTATAATGTCATAAAAGCCTTATGCAAGGTTGTCTGGTTCGATGCACCGAAGAGTTAGTTAGCTGAAGTTATCCCTGCAGTTCTGTTTGAATGCTCATTTTATGAACTGAGAATATCTGAGAGAAGTATCCGTACCAGTAGAGTAGCCCGTGCACAATATATCCCGTCGATTCTGAATTGTAGGGCTATGTACTTCGTGTAACGGGTGGTAACGATAAGCAAGGATTCCCAATGAAACAAGGTGTGTTGACGAACGGGCGTGTGCGTTTATTGCTGTCGAAGGGTCATTCGTGCTATCGCTCGAGACGTGCTGGTGAGCGTAAACGTAAATCCGTTCGTGGATGTATCGTTGACGCCAATCTTTCAGCACTTGCACTCGTCATCGTCAAAAAAGGTGATCATCTATTTTAGAAACACTTCAATACCTCAGAGGTATGGAATACGAGGAATCTCTGAATCAAGTCCATTCTGTTTTGTGACGTTCTCCGTGAAGGATTCATTGTATCAAGTGTTTCGCAGCGAAAATACATGATTTGAAGTAATGTAGATAAGCGTTAATTTGAGGAATTGATGAGCACTAAAGTGGATAAAATCCCTAATTCGTATAATTTTCAATCGAGTCTAAACTGTGAATGTTTTTCATTGGCTTTTAGGTGATCAAGAAATTCCCGGTTTGACCGACACGACAGTACCACGACGATTGGGACCAAAGCGTGCGTCGAAAATCAGAAAACTTTTCAACTTGGCGAAGAATGATGATGTCCGATCGTACGTTATCAGACGTAAACTTCCCGAAAGAGAAGGTGGGTTCTTTAATTTTGTGAAATTTTGGGAGCTTATGCTGATATCTTTCAGTCATTGTAACGTTTGTTGTTTGTAAAATTCTTTATTCATCACCATTGTGTCATCATACTATTCGATCCGCAGTTATGATAACCGCTAAAAGTCAGATGAAGCCTCTCTTTCTTCTTTTACCCAATATGATTTCTTTGTTCGTCGACACTGCTTGCACTACGATCATTCGCAATTTTGGTGATAATAAAATAACTTTGTTCGAATTTCATGACTATAAACTTTGAAAGAAGGCATCAATAGAAATTAAATGTAGGGAAGTGAACATCTTTATGCCATTCAGGAAGATGATCAGAGGTAGTTTAAAAGAATCGAAACGAGCAAATCGGATCAATTTTAGCTGAGCTCAATTGTCAGTGTTATTCAAGAATTGATTTGTTTTCACTGACAGTGTTCAGTGATGAGTGGTATTGTTAAGGAAAGAAACCAAAAACGAAGGCACCCAAGATACAGCGCCTCATCACACCCGTCGTCCTTCAACGCAAAAGACATCGTCTTGCACTGAAGAAGAAGCGAACAACCAAGAGACAAGAAGAGGAAGCGGTGTACCATAAACTTATGACTCTGTACGCTAAGGTCAGTTACCGCTTTGAATATCAGTGGGAACAGCTGAATGTTTCAGTGAGTGCATTAGCTTTGTTGAGCACTCAAGTGAATTTGATCAGTAGTTAAGATGAGAAGATTGAGTTATTTATTTGTTCTGTTTGAATGTTAGATCTACTCATTGGTTATTAAACGGAACTGATCTCATTGGTATGTTGTTGTTATTATTTATATTGTCATTTAGGAGAAACAAGCTGCGAAGATTGCTCGTCGACGTTCGTCAGCTTCTCGTCGTGAATCAGAAACAGGACGTCTTAGTAAAAGCAGTAAATAAATGAATGGAATATAATTGTTCAATTGTTGATTGTTATGTTTGCTTTCATGATAAAGTATGTGTTTGATGTTGTTTTCAAAGTGATGTCGTACCATATCGAGGTTCGATTAATATGTCGATAAAATTGTTGCATATGGCTTTTGACAGGCGTGAATATACCTTTTCTTTTACAAAGAATCCAAGCTTTCATCAATATTCTCGAGTATCGCTCTCAAAAACTGAGTCAGTGTTTTAATTTAAGAATGTTACGTTTCGACCGTCTAAAACTCCATGTACCGAGCATGTGCAAGGTCAGGAACTGTGAATAGCTTGAAATGAAAAAAAAACCCTCGGGAACTTGAGTTTATATAGATGTGTTAGTTTCAAATTATCCACCGCATTACTCATTCATTCTATGCAGTTATTTGAGGTTCAACGGAAAAACTTTATTTAAAAAGTTTACTTTGAATAGCAAAAACAATTGAGGATCAATGATAATAATCATTTAAAAAAAGAGTATTCTGATGACGGGATTGTACTTGAATAATCAATGAAATGGAAGCACACTGATAATCACTCATCAACAACACTTTCGCGATTCACTCCACTTCACTGATGCATCTAAGCAAACGTCCACCAGAAGCACGAATGATCGTGTGCGATCGACAAAAACACGACTAAAGGGCAAACAATGCAATGATACTACAATAAACCGTAATAACTTATGGAATGTTGTTTCAGCTAAAGAACACCCTTCATACAAACCATACAAATCAATGCTGAACACAGAGAATTCATTCTGTTTCGTAAGAAAACGTAAACGTTCCGCGAGAAGAACACAACACTTCAGCCGAACAAACTGAACACAAAAGCGTCCAAAGAAATGTCGCGAAATCGATCCCAGTTACCTAATTTTGTGTGTGCCACTGATCTGCTCAGTAGTATGAGGAAAGAAAGACCAACCAAAGTTGTGAGCAAAGGAAAATAAAGACACCGGCTTGAATAGCACTCTGAAGTCGTACATCACTGAAGTTATTCGGTAAACACATAAAAACTGACTTAAATGCTTACTCGTTAATCTCATATTAGTGACGGTTGTTTGAATAATGTTGAAAAAGAAGACGATAGAAAATACGTTCAAATGTAACACTGAATAATCAAAAAATTTGCAGTCAAAACATTCAAATGTACTCGATAACGTGAGATGAATATAAATCCAACTGTTAAGAGCTCAATATAATACAAGGAAGGTTCAAAGTTAAGAGTGCAACTGAAATCCAGAAGAAATCACTGAATAGCTGAACATAGAACAATATTGCACCAATAACACTACCGACGATAACAGCGTTAATGATAGCGGCGTGCGTAATAAAGTAATCATGATACAGTGACAAGTGAAACGATGCGCTAATCATCATTCTCATACTTGATTTTGCATTTTCTTTTCATTTTCATTTTTTCCAACGCTCTTTCGGCGACCATTTGTGCCTCGGTTTCGAACTTATAATGCGACTCTTTTGAATACGTCCATAACGCCTTCAGCATCAATTTCTGAAAACATTTCAATGTCGGCCATTCATCGTAACGTTAAACAAACACAAACATTTGCTCAATCATTCCCATGCGGTCACTATCTTTGGATTTCAGCACAGTCTTATGTGGCTAACGCTTACTTTTATGTGGTCAACGAACATTCATCACTCCGATTTCCATCCGATCACTTTCATTTTCACAGAACTTTGGACTCGGAACATTTGTTAATACACGCACAATTATGTTCGTTCAAGTCAAGAAGAGTAANTGATAATCAAAAAAGCGACTGGAACGAACCAGGTCATTCTCAGTGATCGGCTCAATGAAGAACTTCTCCCTGGAGATCGTATCCCACTTCTTTTCATCTCGAACTCGACCCATATTTTCCGTATCGTTCTTATCGATCACCACTATCGACTTCGCCGTAATTGTTGGCAAGAAGGCACCGTACAGACGTACAATTGAACCGAGCGGCTCACGGCATTCCTGTGCGCCAGTGCCCTTGCAATACGCTTTACCGACGAGTGTTGCGATTACCAATGACTTCAAAAGTTCATTGTCTATAGCATTTAAAAGCAAGCACACATACAAACGATTATCACTTCATCTCGTAACGATTCCATAACAAAACCTCACCTTACTGTTCTCATGCACACGCGATTCGAGGCGTTCCCATATGCCCGGATCGCAACAAACGTAATGACTTTCACAGGCAATTCGCATATCACTACTTTTACAGATGAATGCATTGCACAAATGACAACAAATGTCATAGCTGAAATTCTCTCTTAGCATCAAATAATTCAACAAGTATTCACATTATTAAAACTGTAATCACCACAACCCCTATCGTTATAATTATTAATAACAATATTACCACTACCTCAACTACAGCTAGAATCGTAATCATCACTCAGTTCTGAATAATAACTGATCACAGCTTTCACATCGTTGATACCAATCAGTCATAAGAATGGAAGGAAAAGGTGTAATCATAGTACGAGTTCACACCTGCGTCCCTGTAACTGCTTACGTCTCTCTCTGTCCTGCTTTAATTCTGATTCTCGCATCATTCTCTGCTCCTTGATCTTCTTTTCAACCTTCAATGAAAAATCGTTGAACGATTTCTTTCGCGTTCCACTGCATAATTTCCGTTATAAACACGCACTCGAAATCTACGGACAAGAAAGCGAATGTGTCAAAAACTCACCAGCTCGCGCATCTGTTTCTCGGACTTGGTCTGAATGTGCTTCAAACAAAGACGCATTAACTCTTCCTTCTGGATATTCTCCAGTTCTCGCTTCTCAATTGAACCATCCAACGCCAACAAAATCGATCTCGAATTCTTAGCTCGAGCACGTCCTGCAAAGAGATCATTCACGACGTTCTGAACAACTCGATCTCTACTCGAGTGGCACTGGAACGCCAACCACTAAACTTTAATCGCAAGTGAAATTCTACGTACTGCACTGTTCTTGTCTTATCCTAACCACATCCATACAACACTACCTTTCCACATGCTTACAAATTTTTGGAAGGCAAAAATTTTGCTATTTTACGATTTCTTAACAAACAAATGAACTCGCAATCGCTGTGCATACGTCAAAATCAATACCTCTACGCTGAATAAGCGTACGCTCGGAGCCAGTGTTGTTGTACTTGATGATAAGATTACACGCCGATATATCAAGACCTTCTTCAGCGACCGATGTCGCTACGAGGATCTTTCGAAGACCGGCGTTGAAATCTTCGATCATCAAACGTTGGTCAGCGGCCGCCTGCCCACTCAATGACGACGACTGATTTGAACCTAAGAAGCGGGATGCATCGTCGTATCGCAATCCCTTCAAAATTCATTCGAATGCTCTGCTCAATTCATCAGAAAAACAACCAACTTGTTACGAATCCAACCGGACGACGACCCCCATCCACGATTCTACATGTATTCAAGTGATCGCAAAGTTTCTCGGCTAACATACGCGTTGTGACGAATATAATTGTACGTGAGAACGGCTCGTCACGATACTGCTCACGCAGAATTTTGTGCAGACGTTGAATTATCTCTTTTTCCTCACCCGAATCATCTTCGTTGGTCTCCAGATGGCGAAATTCGTTTTGTATATACTCTTAAAAATAAATCTATTGAAATATTCACATAAAAATTTTTTAATTTGACGATCCAAAGAAAAGAATAAACGAAATGAAAACGCAAATTAATCAACCAAATAGAAAAGAAGAAATGTTTAACAAGAAATTAAAAAAGAAGCAAACAAATGAATAAAATAAGCAAATCATCAAAAAAAAATCGAATGAAATGAAATTGACTTTGAAAATGTCTTCTCAACTGCATCTGCAAATTGGCAGCTGTTGTATCCTTGGGTACTGGCTCCTTATCGATTGTGTTGCTCAAATAAACATAAGCATAATGATTCGGTAGAACGTCGGCCAGCGCGAGTGTACGAAAATAATACTGAATCGATTGATACGATTAGTAGCGTTGCAGTTCAGATTACTATCTGCAGAATGAAACAGCGACCAAAAACGAAAAGAAATGAAGAACGGATAAAGAAACGAGTCAAAACAAAGTCACATACACGAAGATGTTCCAATGACTTGAGAAGTTGATACTTCACACTGCCCGATTTCATATCTGTCTGGATGCGATACTTCAACGAACCGATAAAACTCTCATAACGCGCTTCTCGATGATTCGGGAATCTTACTTCATCCTAAACGATTATCGCTCTCCACTCTTCAACTCTCGCATATTACAACCAAACAAATAAGGGCTCACAGAGTGCCAAATGAAGACGCCTGCTTTATGTTCAGATCGAAACCAACCTAATTCACAGTTGACAAATCAACGTTTCGAAATGCACAAAATATCCGAAATTCATTACTGATCAATTAAGAAATGCATAATTCCGTAACAAGAGCACTATTCAACGCGAGATGAGCCATAAAGAACATGCTCACCGGTCGCAATTGCAGTTCTTCACTAAATTCGTTGAGAGGTTTGCGAAGACTCGATTCAATTTTTAACATGGCATTCGATACGGCCATTACGAACGGATCGAGTTTTGGACGTTGTGCATTCAATACTTCTGAAATTATTTTTTGAATGTGAACTGATCATGATGGCCGAGTGGCTGATGAGCGCTGGACAGCGAACAATCTAAAATGAAATTTTCCTCGTCAGCTCGATCAAGCAATTAGAATTTGAAACGCTGAAGTCGTCAACTGGGAGTCAATCTCGTTCAAACAGAGTGATGAAACTGGACCAAAAATCAAAATTTTCAAGAAAATTCAGAATAGATTCTATACATACTATGCACAATGCATTCATGCCAACAACTATAAAAAAGCCAAACTAAATTCCAAAAAAAAATCATTCCAACTATTTTTAAAGAGAGCAAGCAAACCATCAATTGGCGGCGTAACGTGCTCTTGAAGATTTTGCAGATGTTTTCGAACAGTACTGATTGAGTGCGCCGAAAGTTTTGCACATAAATCCATCATATGCTGAAAATTTGGAGTGTTTCTAGAATGATTTCACCCTCAATCGCACTTCATTCATTCATCGTTCCTACCGATAACATTATCGTCATAATTATTATCAATTTCAACACATTCCACGAATACAGACTGTCGAATAGTTGATTTCGAATGAATGCAAAAAAAATCTTAAAAAAAGAAAATAAACCAATGTAAATACAAACAAAAGTGACGAACATCAAGTGCCGCCTCAACATTAGCACGACCCGAACCCAGCGGAAGAGAAGCGGTTAGGCCAACCACCTGAGGTTTCGGACCCGTGAAATCGTGCAGCATACGCATCAAAACTGAACATTTAAACGTTAACCCGACCCTCACCAATGCAACAATACCCTCTTCTAAGCACACAATACACAATATTGACTCGATCAAAACGAATCTACTTCGTAGAAATATGAAAAAAATGTGTCGCAAAAAAAGACGCTATCTTCATCATTTGTTACAGGCAAAATCCCCTTTCTTCAGCAAAGTAAAACATTCTCATTTAAAAAGAACAACCTTTTCCGATGATGGAAAAAAAATGGGATTTTGGGTATGATAAGAAATTACAATACAAAAAACGATACGAAATTTTTACGACGATACAAAAAACGATACGAAATTTTTCAAAGTGATAAAAACTTAACCATTATATGGATGATCGCCATCACAATGATGACACTCATCGAAAACGAACATCGTGAAATCGTTGAAATACAGCCGATCATCCTTGCGTACACTTTTCAGCAGATTACTACAATTCCAATTATAATACCAACAGTAATAATAACATAACAAAATAATAAAAACATACATAAAAACCTGTGGTGTGAATACGGTGACATCACTGGCCAACACGAACGGCGCACGTCCATCGTCGTCTACATGCTCGCTGCCACTCATACCCTCCAGCCAGTACACCTTGCGCAGGTACTGGTTCAGTGCTTTCGTTTGCTGCTCTACCAGTGGCACGGTCGGCACCAACATTGCCACCTAACAATGCAACAACCACTCGTAGTGAACAAATAATATGTGCCGTAAGTACAAGCATATAATGATTGACAAGAACATGACAAACAGCCAATGCAAAGATGAACTTACACGAGCCGCGCCTTTCTTTTTCTTTTCCTGCAGATGATTCCGGATCACGTAAGTGGCAACTATCGTTTTACCGGATCCAGTTGGTGCGCAGATGATTGTGTTCACACCGCGAATTGCCGTTTCCACTAGTTCTTCTTGGTAGGGACGCAGCTGGATTGGTTCGGGGTCAGGCAGTGCTGCGATACGCTCATCCGCTTCAATTCATCACAATATTCAAGACAGAAACTACACTGCCAATAATAATGATAATGGCCATATGAATCAGAAATATCGTCGAGTTATCATCACAGGTGCCACACTGATTCACTATGGGATTTTGTTCCCGTTAAACTCTACACAGTTGTTGATTTTTATTGGTACGGACATTTCTGCACCGAACAATCGGTATGCATATTCCACTGACTAGGGGTTTGGGCGGCTTCGATGCCCGCTCGTAAACTTGTGAACGCCTCTGGATTAGTCTAAATAAGCAGTTGATTGCGATCTTTGAAAAAGCATTTAAAAAAACACTGACAGAATGTTTTCCTTCGATAGTTCTTGTAGTCGTCTTGCGCGCGACATGCTCGATTCGGAGATTCATCAGAAGCGTCCACAGTTGGCAACGGTGTTGCTGTTAGATTCTCAGCATCTGCACTCCCCATTCGGGCACCTTTCGAAGCTGGCTCGCCCATGCGACGCTTCACGTTGTGCAACTCTGAGTATGACAGCAATAGCAATAATAACAAAAACAAATAATCAAAACATCATTCAATCACCATAAACACACCAACAACAACAAAAAAAAAACCAACACTTGCTAATTGCAAGCATAACTGAAAACAGAACAACTGAATGAATGTCGGCAAGAAGAGCATAATGCACTAACTTATGTGAATTTTATAGTCACGATCGATGAATTCAGGTATTGTTCGATTCGCTGCGTCGTGACTACACGCCTCCAGAAAGTCGAAAAACCATTCAGACGGATCACAACCAGTCCTGACGATACGTGGCATCGTTCGCATCAGATCACACGATGCTTGTTCGTATACTGAAGTGCTCAATAGATACTGTGTTTGGTGTTTGCATTGAAGCGATGAGTTGCTTAATGGTTCTATTTGAGATTTGATCCAATAATTTTGTTTACCGCACAGCAAACTCACCGAATTCATTAAAAAGTTCTCCATGAGACTCGCTGAATCAATAAGAAAAAGCGCTTCAACTCTCACAAAAACAAGAAACGAACATTGACGTGACATCATCTCTTCGACTTTTCTAACGATCGATGCATACTCTGCATATTTTAGTCGTGAAATGATCGGAACTGGTTCGAGTGTTTTCACGATCATATCCATCTTCGTTGGCTCGTTCACAAACAACATCACGTAGTATTTCAGTGCCTCTGCTGGAATATCTTGCAACGCCCTTTTCAGCAGCTCTTTATTTCCTTAATTTCATACAATCAAAACGCTTCTTGAATGATAATATCAAAAATTTGTTGTCAAATTGCAATCGGACTTTCAAAACAATTTATTTTATCTGAAATATATTGTACTACGATCACAATTTGAAGTTTTACGATAATTGTGATCGTAGTACAGTTTTACCTGCGAGCTGAAATGCGGAAAACTTAACTGGAAATATCTACAAAAAGTTGGTTTTTTTTTTTGAATTCTCAACAATTTGCCATCCATTATCAAAGATTCATCGAAAGAAATTTTAATGAAAGATTGCAAAAATTGTAGATCGCTTTCACGATAAAAATTCACAACATCTAACTTTCATTAGCGATATTCATGAGCTTATCCATTTGCTTGGGATCTTCGCAGATCAAATCCCATAATGTTTCAATGGGTTCATCCAAGTTCTCCTCATTCAACGCTTTCAATCTGCTTCGTTCCTGTTCGTCTAAAAAACGACTCACAATCGCCAAACTTTTACAACTGATTCGCATTCAATCCGAAATAATCATTCGGGCACCCGCAAGTGGTATATTAAATCAATTTGCATTGACAAAGTTTCCGGGAATTAGACTTTCTCGAGTGAATGATCGGACCGTAGAAGTTGAGATATAAGTCGGCTTTGAGCCTGATGGGACAGCCGAGAGAGCATAACAACGACGGTATAGCATGAAATGGGTGTGTAATTACCAAAACAATCGCTGAAAGCCAACAAATCCTCTCGTCTGCGGAATGCCGCATCAATCAGTTCACGCTTGTAGAGGCGATAATGCGCAGCTCGGAACTTGTCGTTCGTTGAGATCTGTAGAGTGAACGAACTGAATGAGTCTTTGCAAAGCAATAAACTAATCCACAGAATGGGTTGTGACGCTTATTAGATAGGTAACAGGCATCAGCAAATTATTCTTTACTCTCCCACTCCATCTCTTTTCTGTACTCCACTACCGCATCGCATAAATTCTGAATCGATTCACTCGTCTTGAATATTCCTGAATGAGTATCAACTAACAAGCTTTTGAAAGCCAATTTTCCAGTCCAAACCCTCTATCGAGATCGCATCATCCAGCTGAGCCAGATCCAATTCCTCCTCCGAACTCACTTCCGCTTCAAGTAAATCGCTTCCACTTTCCTCGCGACCTTTTTGACCGATTACTCTCTCAACACCCATATCTGGAAATCTTTAAAATCCCAATTTACATCTAATTACACACGATCTGCAGTAACGACCCCTACTTCCACATTGCCACCAGACACAGAGTCTAATACTGTTTAGGATGATCAGCAACAACACAGTGGTTACTTATTCATTTTGTTAACAAGCCATCAGTCATCTCAATCTACATCAGTCTTCTACTCAAACCACCTGCATTTACACGAGATCAGAGGTCTTTGAATTGATCAGTTGAACATTCATTCGTATACTGATGCCTGAGTATGGTAATCGCAGATGGTCGATGACCCCATCCGTTTCACATGTTCAATCAACACAGTCTGATTTATTCAGAAGTTTTATTCAATCAAATGTTTATGATGAACGATACAACATAAAAGTCCACAGCAAATGAAATGATAACAGATGACAGAGTCGAGACAATGAATCAATTGGGCTTATATTAAGACGTTATCAAAATCGTGGAAATGCATTTGATTGAAAACGCGATCGAAAATTTATACGGCTGTCCCCCCACGCAAACGAAGAACCAAATGTAATGTCGACTCCTTTTGAATGTTGTAGTCTGACAGGGTACGACCATCTTCCAATTGCTTTCCTATAATATTAAAATTCATAAATCATAAAATAAACGCTCATGATGTCACCAAATGTTCACTATTAACGCAACGAACTCATGCAATCAAAGTGCAGGTAATCAATCAAGAACTTACCAGCAAAGATCAACCGTTGTTGGTCTGGTGGGATGCCCTCTTTATCCTGAATCTTCGCCTTTACATTCTCGATTGTATCTGACGCTTCGACCTCCAACGTGATCGTTTTGCCGGTCAGTGTCTTGACAAAAATTTGCATGCCACCTCGAAGGCGTAGTACCAAATGAAGGGTCGACTCCTTCTGTATATTATAATCCGACAAAGTGCGTCCATCTTCCAATTGTTTACCTGCAAACGAAATCATCCTTTCATTTCATCATTAATTTCGCTACTTTTCTCCCAGATACCTCGACTGACGATAGATAATTTTGAGACCTCCACAAATCACACTAGTTACTTACCAGCGAAGATCAAACGTTGTTGGTCTGGTGGGATGCCTTCCTTATCCTGAATTTTTGCCTTGACATTTTCGATTGTATCCGATGCTTCCACTTCTAGTGTGATCGTTTTGCCGGTCAGTGTCTTGACGAAAATTTGCATTGTTGCTGTTGAAGAGCACTAGCTGAGAGTATAACTGCAAGAATGAATCGCTGGATTTCATTGAAAAACTCGGCAAGAATACCACGGAATTAGCGCTATCATTGTTCGCTTTCGTCGAACGATATGCATCAAATCAAAGCAATACAACCTTCGAAACAATTACCGATAAGTGGAAGACATTCAAAAACATCATCGATTCGGGTTTTATTTCAAATGGTAATGGGAAAACTAATCGTGAGGAAAACTTATTGAATGCTCCAGTTTGCATGCTGAAACTTTTCACTAATTCACAAGCAACGTAAAGTGACTCTGAATACAGGCAAAGTTCAAAATCATCATCTAATATGCAGTCTACGATACACTTCATAACAGCAAAAGCCTCCAACGAAGAAATATACAACATCAACAAAACCACTCAACAAACAAATGGGGAATTGATCTGCTAAAAGTTCTGATGAAAAGACACGATGCGTAGGGTGACCCACCATCCACTGATCATCCAATCTTGAATACGACAGCGAAACTAAACCTTTCGCCGTTTTATATACCAAAGTTTAGAATGTTCCTGAAAGTACTAGCATTTTTTAGCCACCTCCTCAAAGCATCTCTCATCCCAATTACTATCGTCAATCTTCTGCAACTGACATACTTCCTGTCATTCTCTTGCTTTCTCATTCTCCCTATAGTGACTCATTGAATCACGTCAGCCAAACAAACAATTTCACAATATTTCATCACACGACACAAACACATCTAGGATGTCGTCATAGTACACCTTCGAAATGACTGTCACTCATCTCATTACATTGTGATGGTTAAACAGGCGGTTATCGGTTGAGTTGATAACGTCAAAGGATTTCATAAGATTGAGCACGTAAACAAGAGGGTGGTTGAAGTAGGTGGGAGATGGAAATGATTTAGCCCTTTTTATGAGCTGGCTATTGCAAGGTTTGATAAGGGAACGATACGAGCACAACAAATGCTATAACCGATCAGACATTGCCACTGCAAAGAGGGATGCTGCCACAATGCTTAAAAGTTTCGTATATCGCTCTCTGATCTCGTCATTTCATGACTAATATCTGTGCATGAGAATATAATAACCATAATTATGCATCATTGATACCACCAGTTAACAACGAATATGTTGCCTTTCCCATATGTTTATGTTTACGTTTTGATTTGAACCGTTTCATCGAAATTGTGTTTCGGGAATTCGAGCAGTACAATGTTTACTGTATCATCTTATAAGAGTAATAATGTCAAGAAGATCTATTCATATTGGAGAGTCACAGTGG